GAGACTTCAGCTCTCAGGCAGCTCCCAATTTGAATGGAGCTCCCAGTTTGCATGTCACTACTGCATGCCACAAATTATGTTTTGTCCTTGTCTTTCTGTGGGCCAGTATAATAAAACAGAGCTTAACAGATGTATTAAAAATAGGAATCATTCTAATTTCATCCCATTACAGTGTTATTAACTGCATTGTTGTCTATTCTACCATAGGAGCAACCTTAGTCTTGAAGAAGAAGTTCTCAGCCTCTCAGTTCTGGAATGACTGCAGAAAACATGATGTTACTATTTTCCAGTATATTGGTGAACTCTGCAGGTACCTCTGCAACCAGACAAAGGTAACCTGTTGCTGGCTGGACCCACTCACTACCCTAAATTAGTTTATTCTTGTTACATTATGGTGTAAAACCATCGTCATTTGAAATTCAAACTTTTTAACAACTCTAGATAATATAAGTAGATCAGGGCAGGACAGATGTTGTGTCAGATGCATTCTCACTCCTGGCAATATGTTTGGCTTTGGCGTGGGGTGACATGCAGAAAGTGCATGCAACAATTACTTGCTCTTCTCACCTAGGCTCAGCTGGAAATGACACAGACATTTTTTGCTGTTAATATCTCATCACGATTTTAATCCGTCTAAATATGTTACTAAACCATGAGGTTAGAAAAGGGTCCCGATAATCTGCATATAGTAATGGTTGACAGAGCAAAGGGACTAAATAAAGAGAAGCAGACAAAAGTATAGATGTACCTAAAATGTTCTGTTAGATGTTCTTATAATATTAGTATGTTATTGTTAGAGTTTATGTCAATAAGTATTTTTCTTTTATTATTTTTAATGGAAGTTGTCATTGTAACTGCTCCACTGAGTCATTCAAGTAATACTGTTCACAACTGTGACAGAAACATAAGCAGGACCATTGTTTACTGTTCCTGCCCTCCTTACATCATGTAGAAATGCACGCACACACAGTGTCAGGGCCAAGTTCATCCGTTCATGAATTCAAAGTCCTCTTTGTCCATGTTCTGTGTTATTTGGCTGTGTGGGTGAAAGGTTGGCCGCCACTGTCCTCATCAGTGATTGGTAAATGAAACGTACACAAGACACAAGAACCTTTTCACAAAATATGTGCTGACAAGGATGGATACTAATTACTCAATGTCCTGTTCTGCACTTTGATTATGCAAAGCAAATACCACCAGCTAAGCAAATACCATAGATGTCATCATATCGCACTGGATATTTGGCTCCAAATTCCATAGAGACTAGGACTCTAGACTAGGACCAGTTAGCTAACTGTAGCTAGTCTACAAAGGATATCCCTATTTGTATATCTTATTTATACAA